ATATATACAAATCGCGGTAAAATGTTAGCAAGCAGCTGCATCTTTGGGTCTTGAAATCACATGCACACCATGAAGCTTAAAGAAGAAAACACCTACAAGACACAAACAGTATGGGAATACCATTAAAGCGAATGTATTTACACACTGTCCCCCGAGCTACATAGAAGTTATCTTAGTCATAATTTTAGATGTTTCACAGTGTCCAATGGGTGTGACAAAGGCATGCTACTTGATACTTGCACGTTCATAAAAGAATAAGCAAGAAGACCAAGCTTCTCAAATCCAGTGCAGAATGTTTTCTACTTAAAATTATAGAACTGGCAGCTAAAACTTGAGTATCACACGCAAATGAATGCTCTCGTATCAGGGAGAGGAATAGTCAGGGTGAGGAAATGGGCAATCTATCCAGACGGGAAGATTTCCTGTGAAATCTAACCCCTCCCGTGCAATAGAGCACTCAGTTCAATGTGATATCCCAGTTTTGACTTTGAATTATAGTGGCTTGGGCGGGGCACAGTCCGCGCTGCAGTTGAGTAGTTTGAGTCTCCAGATATTTGTATATGACGTCCTGAGGTAATAATTCGTAGGGATGAGACGTTCATATCGTAATTGGTTCATCCATTCAGGAGTTCATAACATCCACAGTTCACAATGTCCACAGTACTCAATGTTCACATTTAATGATGCTCACTGCACATCATGCTCAGAGTTCACAATGCGCACAGTTCATAATATCCACAGCTCATAATGGTCAAAATGTTCAGGCAATAATGTTCACAGATAGGCCCGCATACGTCCGCGAGCGAAAGAAGTTCCTGATGCGAGAGTCGGCACGAAGTTATGTGACGTCATTTCCTCGGATTTGGTTCACAGTTCATCACCATCGTAAAGCAAATGGTTCGTAGCCGACCGTGAATCCCGAATCCCGACTCAGAATCAGTTCGACTGGAAAGAGACCGACTCTGAATAAGAGGACGGAATCAAAATAGACTGAAATATACCTAGTTTGCGTGGGGTACATCAAAACCAGTCCTACATGAATAACGCCGACCCTGCATGAAACCGCCAGCCGTGTCCGCGGCTGTACGTAGGCAGTCACGTGTCAGGCGGTACTTGGCGGAACTGGCGTGCATCAAGCAAGAGCATCGTGGTGTGGACCCGAGCCCAATAGTTCGGCGTGTATTAACTCAATCATGAGGGTGGGGGGGGGGGGGGGGTCTGAGTTATGGTAGCTGTACCATTTGCACGGTTGCAACTTTGAAAGCCATAGTTATGCGAACAAAGTTTTTTCCGCCTAGCTAGTGAAGAAAGTGGTTCGAACGGCGTGGAACCATGAAACGTGCAAGAAAGGTACGCAGAAACCATTTTCACAGTGGTTGAAAGGCTCAGCAATATTCACTCGATTCTCTTGTCCGTATATCTAAATTCAATTGCTTTCTTTCTATGCTTCATACATCCTGTTCCAAAACGAGTCTTACTTATGCGTACGTTGTAGAGGTGAGATGCCAGCAATATTTGCGGCAAGGCAGAGAGCACTGCCAGCAATAGGTTCCCTCTGTCCTTTCCCCACCCTGTGACAGGGGGTTACCTTGGTACTAAAAGCCGCTACTTTACGAAAAGGTTAAAAACCGGGGTCGGGTCTCTGCCTGTCTACAGTCTGACCTTTGCCTAAGCTCAGCTGCAGTCGTGCTATCGCACAGAACAGGTATGTAGGTGCGAATTAACCGCATGGCGTTGAAGTCGTTCGATGGAAGTTTCAACAGAAACCAGCTTAATATGCATAATGACGTTGGCTGGCTCTTATGAGCGACCATTTTCGGCGGACCATACGCTGGTTAGTTTCACTTTCTGCCCACAATTTCCTTTAGTGGCAGCAACCTCGATAAAAGCAGCCCATTTCCGTCGTGGATTGAAGGGCTTGACGACAAGTTCTACCTTGGTCACGTGTGCGACTCGGACACCCATTTCGAACAACATGATTGTCGTGAAGCTCACATCAACAAATCACGCAGGTATAATCCGGTAAAACACGCAATGCATCGACTCTAGGTGCCTTCAACTTCTCTCTTCGCGTCTGTCTGATGTTCATCCCCAGCCTCTCCGAAAAAGGCATAGAAACGAAACCATAATGAAAACAATGCATCGGAATGCATCGTTTTCACGTGAAATTACTATCGAAGGTGCATTAGCGGACAATGAAAGACCACAGGCGGACGGCACTGCCCGCGCGCTGTTTCAGATGGCGCCCTCAAGAGTAGGGTCTGAGGCTCCGATATCGCTAGCTTTTGAAGATTGTGCGCTTCTTCGTCCGATGAAGGTGTCTCTATTACACCGAGTCATACGACGGACGCCACCAAAACCAGATGCACGTACAAATGGACTGAAAGGGGGGGGGGGTCACTTTAGGCCCGTACTCGGAGGAGGTGGCCTTTATCGAGACAGAAGACGCGGGATTTGCTCGTTCGTTTAACTGCTAACTTAAGTGCAAAAAAGGAATAAAATGTGCCTTATTAAGATCGCCTTTCGGTGTGTTCCGCTAGCGGAGCACAAAAATGTCAGTCAGAGTTAAGAAGTCGCACCACATTTCTTCCAACACAGATTTATGCCATGTTATCAAACATTCACCTTTGCTGCTGCTGCTGACACAGTAAAACATGCGAGCCGGCATATCGAGAATCTGTCTGGCGCGTCAGTATCCGCCGGGCCGGTGTGTTCTGCCCACCCCGGAACACCTGGTCCACCTCGGGTCAGGATCCACAGATCGGAGCTCGTGCGCCGTCCGCCGCGGGCCGCACACCATGTCACCCTCGGGTCAGGATCCACAGATCGGAGCTCGTGCGCCGTCCGCCGCGGGCCGCACAACCGGGTCCACCTCGGGTCAGTGTCCGTAGGTCGGAGCTCGTGCGCCGACCGCCGCGGGCCGCACACCGGGTCACCTAGGGTCAGTGTCCGTAGGTCGGAGTTTCGTACAACCGACCGCCGCGGGCCGCACAACCGGGTCACCTCGGGTCAGTGTCCGTAGGTCGGAGCTCGTACAACCGACCGCCGCGGGCCGCACACCGGGTCACCTCGGGTCAGTGTCCGTAGGTCGGAGTTCGTACACCGACCGCCGCGGGCCGCACACCGGGTCACCTCGGGTCAGTGTCCGTAGGTCGGAGCTCGTACACCGACCAGCCGCGGGCCGCACACCGGGTCACCTCGGGTCAGTGTCCGTAGGTCGGAGCTCGTGCACCGACCGCCGCGGGCCGCACACCAGGTCACCTCGGGTCGGTGTCCGTAGATCGGAGCTCGCGCTCCGACCACCGGCGGTCGCCACGTTGGCCGACCGTTGCTAGCCGTCTCGCGGCGAGTTGGATGGCGCGTCGCCGGTAACTTTGACCCTCGCCGGGCGGCCGGTGTGGGACAGACGGTTCCAGGGGTGTCGAGCCGTGTCCGCCCAGATAAAGGAGTGGGCCCAGCCAATTGAAACGCCGTGACCTGCCAGCGGTCGGCCCCGCCGACATGCTGGCAGGGCGGCGGGTTGACCGGCTGCACCAGCCGGTCAACAAATGAAACTACATCACCACTGGATGTGGTGATGTAGTTTTCAGTTTTAGTAAAGCCTCACCGCATCTCAAAGTACTTAAGGTGAGTTACAAAGGAAAACCTCGTTAGACCATCCCAAGATATGCAGATGCAGCAAGGGGCGGGGGGGGGGGGAGACACAGAAATGAAGTAATGCTGGGCTTGGCTGCACCATGGCTCCACTCGGTTGTTTTCCTTGACGTGACGCAGCCTCGTGCCATGGTGCGAGCGACGCCTCCGCCGCCCTGATGCTCGGTCATCGCCGACAGCTGACCGTGTCCGCAGCGGCGCCGGCGGTCTCCGGGCGCCGCCCCGCGCTCGGCCGGCAAACGGGGACGACGCCGGCCCGCTGTGCCGGGCCGCGCTCGCGACCGGCCGCCGCGGCTGCCCCTTCACGCGAGACGGGCTGGGCGGCTAAACAGCCACGACGGCTGATTAAACGGACAGGAGCGGCCGGTGGGAAGGGAGCGTCATGGCCTGCCTGTGGGCGGCGCCCTCCGATCGCGCGCGGTGTTACCGCCGGCTGGCACGCGGCGTCAGCTGTGAATGGCTTGTTGATCGCTCTCGGCCCGGACTCTCACCCGGGCCTGGCGGCGGACGGAGGTCACACGGGTCACGGTGCACCCTCCCCCCGACCGACCCCGGTGGACGTGCCCCGCCGATGTGCCCCACCCCCACCCCCGGCGGCGGGGAGGGACCGCTGGCGAGCGGCGGCCGACCCGTACCTGGCGGCCCTCCGCTCCGCCGCCGCCGCCGCCGGCGCGGCGTTGTCCAACGCCTACGGGGCCGCTATCCAGGAAGGGAATAGGAGGCCATCGCGGCTCTTGAAAACGTGTAATGTGCCGCGAGGGTCACCCTACAAACTGTCCCGGGGAGCAACAGTTTTTGAGAAAGCTTCATTCAAGAAATTATCCGTCGCCACCGACTTACTTGTTTTATTTGCTCATCATGCACTGTGCTTACACGACAGTTATTCCGCATCACCGCGCCCGGCGCCCACATCTCAATTTCTGTAAATAAAGTGTGGCTCGCTCTTAACTACTGGCATAATTTTAAGTGGAAAAACTGCTCTGGACAGCACAATTCTCTGTTTAGTGAATATGACCCCGCAATTGATTGAGTTGATGTTGAAGGTATGTTTTGATTAGATGCATAAAATGTGCAGCATACAATAACCTAGGTTAGGTTAAATTTGTAGTAGCTGTTGGTTTGAATGATGCATACGCTAATAACATATGAGCACACAAACGAGATATCTTTGGAGTGTTCATTTTCAGCTCGTCCAAGACCTGCGAAAACAGTCGCCCGGCTTATCATTTACCACATCTGATTGACGAGCAAAGGTCTCTGACAGCTGCAGTCTTAAGTCAAAAACATTCTTCCTTGGAAACGCCTTGTGACGCGCTGTCGAACAACTTATTACAAAGGCTCATCAGTTGCATATTCTCGATTTGTATTGCACGTCGTGTCTTCATCTTTGGGGTAATACTTGACAGTCACAAGCGATACACAGCACAAACAGCAAACGAGCCATGAGAATCCATCCCTCTTCTCAAACCGCGACGAACATTGAGCAATGACTCACGACCATATGATGCAGTGCGTTCAGCGTCCGGTGTTCTGCACCGAGACAGCGCCCGTGTCGGACGTCTCAGAGACGCCATCGACCGTCTCCGTGCGCTGGTTGCTGGCGTTGGCCACGCTCACGCTGCTGCCACTGCCGTGCACGCTGCCGTCGGCGTTGGACGTGACGGACGTGACGCGGGTGAAGCCGTTGACGCCTTCGGACGTGCCGGTCGTCACCGAGCCGTCGGCGGAGCCGGACGCCGCGCCGCCGGGCAGCAGCGCCGGCTTGAACAGCGACGGCCGCTGGAACAGACCGCCGACCGGCAGCAGCACGGCGCCGTTGCTGTCCTGCACCGAGACGGCGTTCGTGTCGGAGGTCCGCTGCACGCCCAGCACGCTCTCGGAGCGGCGCGCGTCGGCGTTGGCCGTGTTGGTGCTGCTGCTGCCCAGACCGTTGGCCTGGCCGCGGACGCTGGAGACGGCCGAGTCGATCTGGTCTCGTCCGAACGCCGTCTCAGAGATGCCGGAGGTGACGGAGCCGTCAGCCTGGCCGGAGGCGTCGCCGCCGACGAACACTGGACGGAACAGCTGCGGCCGCTTGAAGAGGCGCCTGCCGTCGGCCGCCGACAGGACGGCGAGCGTGGCCAGCACGGCGAAATAGTTCATGGCTGAGAAAGGAGGGACGCCAGTGTTACTGGATACCAGGCCGAGCCGTTACGTATACAACCAGTGGAGCTCCGAATGGCGATCTAGCATTTTTGCACGAGTTTCGAGCCCTGTACTTTTTGTAACGCACCATGCTCACGTTAAATGCAAGTATTGTAATAAAATAGCTAATCTAACGCTGGGACAGATGAAGTGAACTCAATACGACTACCAGCTAAATTCGAGAGAAGAACCTATGCATACCTGATTCTTTGTGTTGAGAGTCACAACACTGTTGGTGGCGCCGGTGGGCCGGAGCGTGTGATGGTGTTACGTTGCATGCCGCTGTTTATATGCAGACCGGTCGGCTGCAGGTATTGGGGCATGACGCGACGGGCGCCCCAAGCACCAGAATTGCACAGTCAAGCGGTTGCCTTGCAGAAATCCCTCGCACGGAGGTGTGCGGTTCTCAGACGTAATTGAATTCTAGAGGCCAGACGTAGCCGCTGGTATTGCCGTGCTGGAAAAAACCCAGAGCAGTGCGCTTTTACGCTATACGTGGCTACAGGAAAAACCCACACATTTCTCATGTAATCTACGTCTGCGGAACTTCATTTCCACTTGGTTAGCACATGTATGTGCTAGTGACCAGAAGCACTCTGACGCAGGTAGCGGGCTGACCCGCAGTCGGTAGCCAGCAGGTGACGGGCTGACCCGCAGTCGGTAGCCAGCAGGTAGCGGGCTGACCCGCAGTCGGTAGCCAGCAGGTAACGGGCTGACCCATCGGTAGCCAGCAGGTAGCGGGCTGACCCGCAGTCGGTAGCCTCAGGTACGGGCTGACCCGCAGTCGGTAGCCAGCAGGTAGCGGGCTGACCCGCAGTCGGTAGCCAGCAGGTAGCGGGCTGACCCGCAGTCGGTAGCCAGCAGGTAGCGGGCTGACCCGCAGTCGGTAGCCAGCAGGTAGCGGGCTGACCCGCAGTCGGTAGCCAGCAGGTAGCGGGCTGACCCGCAGTCGGTAGCCAGCCGCATCGCCGGGACTTGTTGGCCAATCGGAAAACTGTAGGTCTGGCGGCGAAAAATGAGGGAGATCCCAGCCCGCAACTGTCCATCAGAGGCCCTCTTGCACCGATTGAGAGCCCTGAGGGCAATGAGGGCCCGCCAATTGATCTGCGACCCCAAATCTCGAACAGTCCGCCCCGTGGCGGCCTAGGGCCCATTTCCAAAGCCGGGACCGTCCTGGGGCCCGCCATTGTCAGTCAGAGGACCATTTGCATTGGTCGCGCTCCCTGAGGCAATGAGGGACCGTTGCGTTGGTCAGGGGGGCACAGTACGCCTAACAGAGGACCCTATGTTGGCAAGGGCACGGGGTCGGCCATGGTTCCGTGTTCTGAATAGGGGCAGGAAAGTGACCCCGAATGTCAGGGGGTCTCTTAAGTTGACCGGGCCCGCTGAAACCGACAGGAGATGAAAATGAAAATGAAAATGAAAGGGTTCATAGTGAGACAGTGAAAGGGCCCTGTGTCAAACGTGGGCCCAAGAACGAACGTGGCCCCGAACCTCCACTCCATTTCGGGCAGAGACCTGATAAATCGAACACGATTCATCTCCCAATTATTGGACCCCCTGCGTCGGCAAGCATCTTTTGACATCAATGAGGGCCGTTGCGTCGATACGAGACCAACTTTTCCGGTCTGAGGACCTTCCGCGTCATGGAGGGGACCAATGCATGATGCATCACTCCCCGGCTTTCGTCTGACCGGGAGACACCGGCCATCGTGTCTCCAGAACAGTGCCCGGCAACGACCCCGGGTGGCAGGTTGAACGGAGATCCTCCTCAACCGCTGACCAGGAAAGGCAATGGGGCCCCTTAGTGGCTTACTTACGGGGCCCCGTGTCCACGAAAGGTAAGGGGTCCCCTTATTGTTCAATCCACTGGGACCCTTAATGAACGCATTCGTCGGCATGATGATGTCAAATGAAGAAAGCTGGGGCCCCTGGAAATAAAATGGGCCAAATCAGCTGATTTTTGGGGGTGCCTTTTCACCGGGTGCCCTTCATCAAGCTGTGTGCCGCCCCTCCCCTTCTTACCAAAACTTTGGCCTCTCCCCTGGTATCAGAGAGAGCTTGTGGGCCTTGAGATAGGCTCCTCTCGGGCTTAAGTGTTTAGATGGACCCTCTCCGGGCCAGAGATACCCACTTTCTCTGTCAAAGACGTGGCATATTATAATTTAAGAAGGGCCCTTCTTGAGTCTACGATGGGCCTTATCCAAACCTGACAGGACCCTTCCCACGCCCACGATGGGCCCCACCCAGACCTGCGATGGACCCCTTCTGAGTTTACCGTGGACCTGTCCAGATCAGAGACGGACCCTTTTGAGTCTACAATCGGCCCTTTCCAGACCGGAGAAGGGTACTTCCCGCACCTGAAACTGTTAAAGAGATTTCCTGCCTTGAAATCGATCCTTTACAGACCTGAGATGTGCTGTCTGCGTTGAATTGGATGCCACACGATAAATGAATCTCTTCCACAAATCTGCCAGGGTCCTAATTTGGACCACCTGACATATGGGGAAAGATAGTTTTGGTTCTCACCTCATACATGGGGCTAGTTTGCCTCGCGAGTACACCACCACTGGCTCCCTGAGCCTTCAATAGGCCCACTCTAGACCAGAGATGGTGGAGACGAGCCGTTTGTGAATTTATGATGGACCCTCTCCAGACTTGAGAGGGCTTTGAGCCTACGATGGGCCCCTTTCCCGACCTGAGACGGGCCCTTTTGGGCTCCCAGTGAACCGTTTCCAGGCCAGAGAGGGCCCTTCTGCGCCTGGAAGTGGCGTGAATGTTTCCGTCTTGAAGTGGGCTAATTTCAGCCTGAGATGGGCCCTACGCGGACACGAAACGATCCCCTTCTGAGCTTAAAATGGGCCCTTTCCGGGCCAGACATGGACCATCTGCGCTTGCTTTGGTAACACAGTAAGCAAGTACTAGGGGACCCGAGGGTCCCTCCTACGCCACCTCAAATTATGGGGGGGGGGGGGCAAATATATATTTTTTCCCACCCCAAAAGATGGGGGCATTTTGCCCCCCCCCCCCTCCGGATACACCACCACTGTCCCGGGGTTTTCCAACAGCGTTCGCAGCTGGCGTTAACTGTCAACTTCCAGTAGTCGCGAACGTCTGGGAACCAACGAGCGTGCGTGGGATTTCCACCTGGCAGGCATTGAGCGAGCGTTTCTGCAGCCAGGAGTACTGTCTGAGTCATAGGCGTAACTACACACAACCACCGTCTGCATATAAAACAGCAGTCTGCACTGCCAAGCCATCACACACCTCTGGCACCCAGCCGCATCAACGACGGTAGCACCTGCTTGCAGAATATCAGGTATGTATGACTCCCCATTCCCAACAGATTAACACCTACATATGCAGCTAAAGGGTGAGGTCTCCGATCATTGCAGCTGCATCACGTCAAATCAACCTCTTTGGATGTTTCGTTCATACACGACGTGTACGTGGTGTGGTATTACAGGTGCATGTTTCAAGCTGCACAACTTGCTGCCCGCAGTTAGAATTGTGTACATCGCCATTCGGAGCCTCACTGGTTGCATACGCAACGCATCGGCCTGGTATGCATTAAAACTGGCGTCCCTCCTTTCTCAGCCATGAAGTATTTCGCCGTGCTGGCCACGCTCGCCGTCCTGTCGGCGGCCGACGGCAGGCGCCTCTTCAAGCGGCCGCAGCCGTTCCGTCCAGTGTTCGTCGGCGGCGACGCCTCCGGCCAAGCCGACGGCTCCGTCACCTCCGGCGTCTCGGAGACGGCGTTCGGACGAGACCAGATCGACTCGGCCGTCTCCAGCGTCCGCGGCCAGGCCAACGGTCTGGGCAGCAGCAGCACCAACACGGCCAACGCCGACGCGCGCCGCTCCGAGAGCGTGCTGGGCGTGCAGCGGACCTCCGACACGAACGCCGTCTCGGTGCAGGACAGCAACGGCGCCGTGCTGCTGCCGGTCGGCGGTCTGTTCCAGCGGCCGTCGCTGTTCAAGCCGGCGCTGCTGCTCGGCGGCGCGGCGTCCGGCTCCGCCGACGGCTCGGTGACGACCGGCACGTCCGAAGGCGTCAACGGCTTCACCCGCGTCACGTCCGTCACGTCCAACGCTGACGGCAGCGTGCACGGCAGTGGCAGCAGCGTGAGCGTGGCCAACGCCAGCAACCAGCGCACGGAGACGGTCGATGGCGTCTCTGAGTCGTCCGACACGGGCGCCGTCTCGGTGCAGAACACCCGCCGCTGAACGCTTTGCACATTACTGATACCTGCTACTGTGTAGTGCCAGTCACGTTTCGACAGCCGCGTTATGCTTTAAGTCATGCATCAGGTGCATTGTTTGTAGCTGCATAGTATTATCCCAAGGTGAGATCGTCGAACGAATACAAGGAGTCGGTTTCGGTTTATGCTTGTTCATCATGTCACACAATCTGAGAGCATGACATGACGCTCTCGTGCTCGGCTGACACCATTCTGATGAAACGTGGCTTAAGGGACCGCATCCGCCGAGTGATTTACTACCACCCGCGTTGCTGTGAATCATGTAGTTTTGCTAGTGTATAATCGCGGCGGCAGACAGACCTGCGCGTTAGCAAATCCTCAACGAGATATCAGTCAGACAGATGAAGTGATTCATCGGCCATGAGTCGATTGATGCCGCCCATGTTGTGCGATGCATAGTTCGCCTGGTAATGGCGTCCTCCACATGGCAAATGATGCTGTGCTAGCACAACATAAGGCTGCGGGCACTTGAGGACTGAGACGTGTCATATTCCGACATACATGTCGTAAAGGTGTGAGGGGGGGGGGGCAGGGGGGCTTAGGCGGCTCGTGGCGGGAAGTTAAAAGGCAGCAAAATGAAATATCACTGAATTCCGGTGTGATCACCAAGGAAAAGTCAGGCTGCGCCCGCAAAACCCTTACACAGCGGTATCACTTTGATTCTTCCGCAGGACTGGCTGAGCTGCTGACTTGAGCCACCTCAGTGAATTTGAGGAAAAAAGCGGGAATACTGAGCCAATGAAAAGCAGCAAGTGTCAGGACTTTTCGATCACTAGGTACCTAAAAACATCACTATCAATAGCATCACCATAGAGATCACTCGTAAACATGAACTCAATGTTGGAACCGCTCAAATATCATTCTGAATTTTTATTCTGATATCATGGACGCAAATCAAAGTGGTCAAAGTCCGAGGAGAAATCAGGACTTGAAGGAGGGTCAAGTCAACTTTGTTGGCTCCGACACCCAACCGAATTCAAGCAGTCATATCCCTGTCCTTACAAACACAAACATGCCCGTGATGCGGCACACCGCATTGCTTGGCTACGCGGCCAACATTATGCGCAAGCTGCCATGCAACAGGCCGTGACCAACGAGGGTGCAGCCAACATGAGGCTAGCAGGACAGAAGCGCTTGTAAAACCCTTTTAAGAACATTGCGTTGGTGAATATCAGCATGCCATGACGTCGCCACGGCTGTTTTAAAGGGAGTTTTCCAAGTTTATATGGAGTTTTTAACTGAAAACGCCATTTTGAAGATTATTTGATGCGGTTCCATCCCTGCTCTCCTTTAGACCTAAAGCCCTCCAGTTTCCGAGCTACACGCCCGCAAAGCTGTGCAGGCCATTTCGTGCAGACCATTTCAAGGCCATTCAAGCATATGTGACGCCATAGCAACGTTATTCTAAGCCTACCAACCCACAGGTCAGGCGTTGTTCATGGCCAGGAAGAATATTATGGTCCAGCCATCCGTGGGCACGACTTCCAAATATTTTGGACGTCAATTGCCCTCAATCAATGCTGAGCAGGGGGTGCAATCTTCAATCACGAATCACGTTTTTGTTGTTTGGATCGAAGCCCTTTCGGCCAGAATCGATCATTTTAGAGCAATGGGCTGAAAGAGAATGTATAACGGAGGGGCAGGACTACATGCGCCTGGAGGCCAAGCGCCGAGCTTTAGCCGGCGTGGAGACCTCTCCGCGGGGCGTGTGCTGGCGCCCCATCGGGGTCCCCTCCACGAGGTCTCTCGGCCCACTCGCGGCTGACGCATGCAGCCGACACGACGGGGCGTCGACATGATGTACGATAAAGCTAGAAAGAGAAGAGGGTTGGATAATCACGTTTTGTGCTACATAACATTAAAAGTTGGACATGGTTTCTTACCTTGCGGTGATTACAGGTATAATACTTGGTATCGTCTAACTTACGAATAATACCCTAGCCGAGTATGTGAATACAAGTAAACATATTAAACTCACGGATAAAAATATAAAAAAGCACCACGAGAAAGGGCCAAAACACGAGTGCATAACGATATTTGGCTCAGCAAATACTTCCACAACGGCCATTGCCATCCATGGGGGAGTTTAAGGTACTGCAAATGATAGGGTGGCAATTACGCGGGGCTAAGTTGACAGCACCTCGATGCCAACTACTAAATATATAAGTTACTAAACACAATAATATAATTACGTGGCCAAATTGTATTGTTGACAGCAATCTTTTCCACTTTACGGAATACTTATAATTACAGGTGAGTTTACGTCAAATCTGATGCCTGCTTCAACATCTACATATGTGGAGCATTCGCTTTCAGACCATAATTACTTGGACGTAGACGGGGCGGGGGCGCAGCAAATGTTGCCCTATGAGCGCGGGGAGGGGGAGGGGGGGGGGGGGTGGGGGTGGGGTGGGGTGGGGTGGTAGAGCTCGGTTAACGCGCATCACACCGATTTCTAACTTTTTGTCGGTAGCCATCCATGGTGAAAAAAGACATCCAGGCCTAAGGGGTGGGACCGGCACCCATCCCATTAGCTGTGCCCTGTACGGCAGAACAGACCCACGGAGTCACGCACCACGCGTGCTAGCCATGGTTAGCAGCAGGCTGCACGAGAGGCCGGTGGGTGAAGTGTCTGCAACGCTAGCTGACCTGCTGACACCGCTGGATCAGTGGGTCACGTCCAGTCCTCCGCGTGGTGGTGGTGGTGGGAAGAAGGAACTGCACAGCCATGCGTCAGTCACTTCATCTCTCTTCTGATGCGCAGTGGAGGTCGCATTTGCCCAATAAAAGCTCAGCTCACCGTCCCCTGTCTCCTATTCTCGTCCTCCGAACGCGCTCTATCCAGTTGAAAGTTGTCTATTTAAGTTATCGCTTTCTCTGTACAACAAGGCTCCCACACGAGTATAAAACTAACAAACAAAGCAGTCGTCACAGCATATCACGTTAGCCGGTGTGAGCTACAACACAACATGGGAGCAGCGACCACGCCCACTTCCGCGACCGGTGGTCCCCCAACCCAAACCCATGACATCACAACCCGACGCGTCAAACACCAATCAGCACCTCTCCAGCGCTCCCGCAGCACCCACCAGCAGCGTAAGTGCACTTAGCATCAACAGCAGAGACTCGATCCACTGGGAAGACCTCAAAGTGTCACCATGAGCGGCAGGCGCACGTACCGTGGGTCCAGGATTCCCTTACCCAGCCATCCAGGCGCTGCTAGAAGCCCCGAACATCACTCGCAAAGCGCCAGTATGCAGACACCGTCATCGCATCCAGCCATCATGATGCGCGACTGCAACGACAGGTCAGCATCGCCCTGGTCTGACCCACGTCACCCCACAGAGCGGCTTCCCTCGAGAGGCCGGACGGCATTCTGACGTCACTGGAGCGACACGTCATGGCAGTGTAGAGACGTCACCACCGTCAGAACAGCGGCCGCCGATGTCAGTGGCCTGACCTCATCAGCCTGGCGGGCAGTGTCGAGGTCACACCATCGCCAAACCGGCGGCGGACATCCGCCTTCTAACGGCAGCGGCCGGCGCTCCCGCTCCCGCTCGCGCTCCCCGAGCGGCGCCGACATCGGCCGCGCCGGCGGCGGGCGTCAGTGCTCCGACATGAGCAGGCTCACGATGGTGGCGATCACGCGGCGGCTGCGCGGGCAGGCGGCCAGGTCCAGCGCCGGCGTCTCGATCTTCTCGGCCAGCAGCCGGTCCAGCTCGCCGCGCAGCTCCTTCAGCAGCGCCGCGATCTGCCGGTGACAGCGCACAGCACGGCGTCGGACGGCGTCACACACCAGTGCTGCCACTTGGCCCGCGATATCGCCAGCATCAGCGCCAGACGTATCCGCTCTTACGCGGCAGCGTCGGCAGGCTGGCCGCGGTGCCGTCCGCCTGCATTGTCACGCAGTCTAGAGGCCGGCACGAGCCTCGCGAACACATTGCTTTCAGCCACCGCGCACGGCGTACCTGACGGCACGACGGTACAGCCCAGGGCTGTCAGCACTGGCGATAAATCTCCAGATTGGCGATTTTCACCAGAACACTTTGCGAGGAAATCAACAGTCGGTGTTGATAACGTATAGTGTATCGTCTAACAGTATTAACCATTTTAATTCCAACAGAACACCTGGCTTTGGTAACCTGAGCCTTATAATGCATGGTGGGTGGGAAGTGCTTGTTGCCTTCGGCCTAAGCCCACAGCTCAGTAGCGCAACTCTCACTCAACGAATGACTGTGCATTCGGCTTTTGCGTCAGACGGGACCGTGGACCCATGTCTTTCGTGCCTATAACGCTACGGAGGGTGCCCGTGCCAGGCATGCCCTCTATGCCCAGATGACAGCAAATCCCTGCATAATGGTCACGCCAAACAGTCCGCTTTCTCTGGACCCGAGGTGCCATGGAACACAAGTTCTCGCGCCACTACGAGGAGCTGCTGCCGAAACAGCTTCCGGTGCAACTGCTCATATTTCATAAATGGCAACACATTAGCGAATACTGTTGCAGCTTTTAATGCCTGAAATGCATGTTTTACGCAGCAGATAACTTTAGGAACGAAAAACGTGAAATTTGTGGTTCTTCGCCAACGTAACGATACAACTGGCGATTTCTTTACGAACATGGCGACAATGACACTTGACCTTGGCAACCCCGTTGTGGCCACGGCTCTGGCTCAGATACTGTCCTGACCCACATGCTGTCCTCATGGAGCGAACTGGGCGAGCTTGCCGGCACGCTAGCTGTTACTTGCCACTTAATGTCATGAGGGCATGCATCGGAGCCGTGACCCGAGCTGATCACCTCGCTCAAACCCGGAGGTCAGTACGACGCGTGCCCACGAGTGACATGAAGGCCGGGGACCGTCGGGATCACGCGAGCATCCCCTCCCCCTCCCCCTGAGACTCCGCGACACGCTGACGTAGCCCAACACACCTACCCCTCCCCCCCATCCACGGCATCCCAGCCCGGTCCCCCTCCCCCCCCCCCCCCCCGAAGACTTCCGCGACACGCTGATGTCACCCAACACACCTACCCCCGCCATCCACGGCGTTCTGGCCCGGTCGAACCCTCCCCCTGAGACTCCGTGACACGCTGTCACCCAAACACACCTACCCCCGCCATCCACGGCGTCCCGACCCGGTCCCCCTCCCCCCCCCCCCCCGAGACTCCGCGACACGCTGATGTCACCCAACACACTACCCCCGCCATCCACGGCGTCCCGGCCCGGTCACCCTCCCCCCGAGACTTCCGCGACACGCTGTCACCCAACACACCTACCCCCGCCATCCACGGCGTCCCGGCCCGGTCACCCTCCCCCCCCCCTGAGACTCCGTGACATGCTGATGTCGCCTAACACACCTACCCCCACCATCCACGGCGTTCTGGCCCGGTCACCCTCCCCCTGAGACTCCGCGACACGCTGTCACCCAACACACCTACCCCCGCCATCCACGGCGTCCCGGCCCGGTCACCCTCCCCCCCCCCCCCGAGACTCCGCGACACGCTGATGTCACCCAACACACCTACCCCCACCATCCACGGCGTTCTGGCCCGGTCACCCTCCCCCTGAGACTCCGTGACATGCTGATGTCACCCAACACACCTACCCCCGCCATCCACGGCGTCCCGGCCCGGTCGCCCTCCCCCTGAGACTCCGCGACACGCTGTCACCCAACACACCTACCCCCGCCATCCACGGCGTCCCGGCCCGGTCACCCTCCCCCTGAGACTCCGCGACACGCTGTCACCCAACACACCTACCCCCGCCATCCACGGCGTCCCGGCCCGGTCACCCTCCCCCCGAGACTCCGCGACACGCTGTCACCCAACACACCTACCCCCGCCATCCACGGCGTCCCGGCCCGGTCACCCTCCCCCCCCCCCCCTGAGACTCCGTGACATGCTGATGTCGCCTAACACACCTACCCCCGCCATCCACGGCATCCCCCAGAGACGCAGGCTGTCACCAGGCCGCTGGCATGCGCACCAATCAGCAACAGCGCAAGTCCAGCGGATGTGGGGCCACCCCGACGTTCCCATCCATTTCAAACATCGAGCGAGGCAATTCACATAGGTGACCTTTTACGTCCGCGAGTTACCGCTTAACACGGGCTAGGGGTCAATTGCCTCCCCCCAAGTTTTCCGAAATGGTTTCCGAACGGCACGGCGTAGCCGCACCACATTTTGCATAAATGTAGGCAACCCAATAGCAGACGGTGTGGTATCATATAATCAGACGTTCCTTGTAAGGTTGCTGACCTACGGCAGGTCAAAGTCAGGTCATGGATTCAGCGGTCAATTTGTAAGGAATCGTTCAATCTGATGAAACAACGGAGTGTTAGACGAAGCCGTATATCTCCGTGATACTTTCTCTGGTAAGACAACAATTTGATGACCAAATTCCTTGACCCAGGGTCAGGTATGAAGGCCACACCTAGTCAAACCCAGCCTGTTTTATTACTCTAGGGCTTGCTGTAAGGGGTGGTTTCTGGCCATCATTACGAATTTTTATAGCGGGAACCGCATTAGACATCTTCCATGAACTATTTATAGCTCAGAATAGGTCGCTGACCTAGAATGACTCAGATCAGCATTTCGTTTTTAGGAACATACTACCTACCTTAATATTTGTCGCTTACTCAAATGCTAAACTCAAAGCAGTCTTCTATAATTTTGGTCACTAAGACCTTCGAAAGGTCAAACAAAGTCACGGACCTTGAATGAGCATGTGATCTTTCTCTCAGAACAGGTATCTAGGCTCTGGGGACACTCTGAAGACCAACTTGGGTTTTGACCTTGTTTGACCTTATTTAACCCGAAGGTCACGACCTAGGAACCTTAAACTTCGACCTAAGTAAGTTAACGTCCAAGCCAACAAACCCTGTGAACTTGGCGTCTCAAGCTCTCTTAGTTCCTGAGATCTCAAGGGGGTGAGATTGACCATCACCCGATCGAAAAGTAGCCAGCCGGCCGCCAGGGCGCGTGTTAAAACTGAAATGATGACACGAGCCACAAATGACACGAGGGCGCCATCACATCAGAGCATTATCGGATACGTACACATATCACCTATCGAGAGCAGTCCATATATAAAGAGTCTAACTTGCACAACGTTCGGCCTGATATTCGAGGCTATTCATTCAATGAGATATTCAGGACTATTCAATGAACTGCACACAAACAGTCGTAACGCGTGAAGTATTTTTTTGCAGTTAACAGGCCAGCCTTACGCAGAAAAAATATCCGATTTTCAACTACCGCTGCTGATCCATCTTGGACACCAATGAAGTGATACGAAGCCGTTCAGTGGTCTTGTAAGTTCCGTAAATGTTTATACGAGAGCAGAGCACAAAAACGGCAAATAACGTCAGACCAGGCCAGATGGTGTGCTGGCAATCTCGGGCCGAACATGAGTCAAACAAGTCAAATTCCGGGGCATTTAGCTGCTAGTCAACATGGAGTTTGAAAGCCAGGGTTTTATCCATAATCAGAGCGACGCCTTCAGAATGCGCCCGCACCGACGGGCTTCGCCAGCCGCGGCGAGCTGGACAGCCCTTCCTGAGCGCTGCAGGGTCACCTGGCAACGCAAGCCTCCTCGCTGCCGGCTCCCGCCCGAGGCGAGCCGGCTCCCGCCCGAGGCGAGCCGGCTCCCGCCCGAGGCGAGCCGGCTCCCACCCGAGGCGGGCCGGCTCCTGGCCGCGGCGGGCCGGCTCCCACCCGAGGCGAGCCGGCTCCCGCCCGAGGCGAGCCGGCTCCTGTCCGAGGCGGGCCGGCTCCTGTCCGAGGCGAACCGGCTCCCGTCCGAGGCGAGCCGGCTCCCGCCCGAGGCGGGCCGGCTCCTGTCCGAGGCGGGCCGGCTCCCACCCGAGGCGGGCCGGCTCCCGCCCGAGGCGAGCCGGCTCCTGTCCGAGGCGAGCCGGCTCCCACCCGAGGCGGGCCGGCTCCCACCCGAGGCGAGCCGGCTCCTGTCCGAGGCGAGCCGGCTCCCACCCGAGGCGGGCCGGCTCCTGCCCGGGGCGAACCGACCCCGCTCGAGGCGAGCCGGCGCCCGCCCGAGGCGAGACGAGACCTACCGTCTGCGTGGGACAGGTGAGCTTGATCCAGCCCTCGTCCAGCGAGACGATGTACTCGCTGCCGTGCCGCTCCACCTCGATGCCGTTGCCTGGGGGGCCGGACAGCGCCGTCATCAGTCGGGCGCAGCGTGCGCGGACCGGGCGGCAGACACCGGCCACGGTCAGCCGCGCTCGTCACGACAGCAGGGCACGCTGAGTGTAGGGCCAGGAGTGGGCAGACGCGTGACCAGGTCATGGACATGAGCCCCCGCATCGGATGTCTGAGGCTCGAATCCCAGATGCTCCTTTATCGGGGGATTACCGTAAATTGCGTTAAAGGATCCTCCGGGATATGGCATCGCTTCTGGTTTTTCCAAGGGATCTCTAGAAATCTTGGACGCTTCTTAGACTTATGTCAAAGAATTCATTTGATTCTTCGTTTTTTGTTCTTTTATCAAGGGCTCATTCAAATTTGCAGCAAAGGTTCCTCTGGGATATGACAGTACTTTTATATTTGCCAAGGAATCTTTCTGAGTCTTGGACACTTCTCAGCATTTTGTTGAAAAATTATACTGATTCATAACACTTACATCAATTTGCAAAATCATCCTTCAGTATCTTCGACCTTTAGGTGGATCCGGACACATGCCTTGCCATAGGCCACATGTTTACGAAACGGACACCCTGAACTTTGGCGCGGTAAACAAACGATGCATTACGATGAAGAGCTATCGGCGAGAGCGAGAACTTCTAAAACTGGTCAAAACAGACCTATTCACAAATATACCGCTACGTTGTCAACACAGGGCCTCACACGGGCTTTCACCGACAAGCGGAGACATGCGTCTACAAAAGCAGGCCCAGTCCAAAGCTAGGCATACCGACAACGTGGTGCAGAAAAACACTAAGCAGTTCAAAAGAGCTCGATACGTCTCACTAGAAGCACAATGATTCCGTCGAATACATAACAAGGTGACCATCAATCACCTTCCACGCCGCAAGCCCCCAACCCATCCGTAGCCCTGCCGGGCGTCGGACACGTCCGGAGCGGGCGCCCGCCGACTGGCGGCACGTACCGGCGAACAGGAGCAGCGGGTAGACGGGCACCATGCAGCACTCGCGGATGAAGACCCGCGACGTCTTCACCTTCTCGTTGTAGACGAGGTAGGGCGATTCGAACCGGCTCACCTTGGCATTCACTGACACTGGATGGATGAACACCTGAGAGAGGAGGTCATATGAACACCTGAGAGAGGAGGTCACATGAACACCTGTGGGAGGAGGTCACATGAACAACTGGGAGAAGGGGTCGCATGAACACCTGTGGGAGGAGGTCACATGAACAACTGGCGGAGGAGGTCACATGAACAACTGGGGAAGGAGGTCACATGAACACCTGGGGAAGGAGGTCACATGAACAACTGGGAGAAGAGGTCGCATGAACACCTGTGGGAGGAGGTCACATGAACAACTGGCGGAGGAGGTCACATGAGCAACTGGGGAAGGAGGTCACATGAACACCTGGGGAAGGAGGTCACATGAACAACTGGCGGAGGAGGTCTTATGAACACATGGGAGGGGAGGTCACATGAACACCTGGGGAAGTTCACATGAACACCCGAGGAGGGAGGTCGCATGAACACATGGGGAAAGTCACATGAACACCTGGGGGAGAAGGTCACGTGAACACGTAGGGAAGGAGATCACATGAACATCTGGGGAAGGAAGTGACTTGAACACCTGACCGAGGCCGGTTGAATACCTAGGCATAGGGGTCAGATGACCGCCAAGGTACGGAGATGGGAGAACACCAGACACTGAGGTCACATGAACACCCAGGAACAGAGGTTGGACGAACAACTAAGAAAAAGGCCAGATGAACACCTAGGGACAGATGTCACATGGACATCTCGCAAAATGGACGCCGGGTGAACACCCAAAACAGAGGTCGGGTGAGCACCTAGAAGAGAGGTCGGGTGTACATCCAGAACAGAGGTCGGGTGAACAACTGGGACGGAGGTCGGGGCGGAGATCGCCCAAGGTGGAGATCACCTAAGGCGGAGATCGGGCGAACACTTCAAGAGCCCCAGCCCCCTAGTCCTGAAGCGTCCGGGATGTCCTGCATCACCCGAAACGTTTAGCTCCTGTTTATTGTAAACTTAACTGATACATATGAACTTTTTTAAATGCTGTCAAAAAAACACTAGAGAGCACGCAGGGTATGTGTACCACATCGCCAAATGCCTAATAACCGTAAGACAACTGTGGAACTGCCCAATATGGCCAGATGGCAAATGTTGGCAAACAAAGATATGTGTTGACAATCGTAACGCGTTTGAAACCTTCGACGCCAGTCTGGCTGCAATTCGTTCCCGAACCTAGCCGCAATTTGTCCGCTAGACTATCCGACACTTTACATTCATTTTTACATTCATCTTTGTTTCGGGCACTTCTCAGTCAAAACAACAACTACGACGCACTACCACGTTCATCGTCGTCGGATAGGCCAGCCATGTCCTTTCAGACGCGCCTCAAGGCGAATCATCCCCTCTAAATCCGCCCACAATCACCGCCCGCCCGTTGGGACGACCTCTACAGGCCCGCCACGACTCGCCCCGCCCCGCTGGGCGACCCCACAGGCCGGCCACGACCAAGCCCGCCCCCGCTGGACGATCCCCACAGGCCGTCACGACCAAGCCCGCCCCGCTGGGACGAACCCACAGGCCGTCACGACCAAGCCCGCCCCGCTGGGCCACCCAAAGGCCCGTCACGACTCCAATCCCGGGCCCCGCTCAGGGCCACCCCGCAGGCGTCCGTCACGACCCAGCCAGCCCCGATGGACGACCACACAGGCCCGTCACGACCAAGCCCGAGCCCCGCTGGGCGACCCCCAACAGGCCCGTACCACGACAAGCCCCGCCCCGCTGGGCGGACCCCACAGGCCCGTCACGACCAAGCCTGCCCCGCTGGGCGACCCCCACAGGCCCGCCCCGTTGGGCTAACCCCACAAGCCCGCCACGACCAAGCCAGCCCCGCTGGACGACCCCACAGGCCCGCCACGACCAAGCCAGCCCCGCTGGGCCACCCCACTGGCCCGTCATGACCAAGCCCGCCCCGCTGGGCCACCCACGCAGGCCCGCCCGCTGGGCGACCCCCACAGGCCCGTCACGACCAAGCCAGCCCCGCTGGGCGACCCCAGAGGCGGCCACGACCAAGCCCGCCCCGCTGGGCGACCCCACAGGCCCCGCCACGACCCAGCCGCCCCGCTGGGCGACCTCACAGGCCCCAGCCAGTCTGCCGGCCCCGCCGCTGCCGCCTGGAGGGGCGTCAGAAGGGCGCTGCCGGCCACGTCTCGAGCGGGACCTCGGCGCCGACTCACATAACCGTCCTCCTTGGTCTTGAACTTGAGCTCGGCGTGTTTGGTGTCCTTGGCCATGACGCCGCCCTCGCTCTTGGTGTAGGTGGCCTCGGGCGTCAGCACCTTGACCAGGTTGGGGTACAGGGCCGCGCAGAGCAGCGCCGACAGCAGGCGGTTGCTCTCGTTGTCGTTCAGCTGCGCCACGTCAGGTGACGGGTGTCAGTTTGTAGAGAACACGTCTCCGGTGTCAGGCACTGTGACCGATGCGTGAGCGACTCCGATCACCCCCCCCCCCCCCTCCCCGATCGATTTTGCACTGATGACACTATGTGGTGGCAACCGTGACAGTAACAAGGGACGGGACAAACGCACGCATTAGGCCCGTGCGGCATTGAACACAATCAGCATAAAACAGGGATGGATTGTGGCGCAGCCCATCCTGGCAAGAACCCTGGCGCCTTGCAAGCGCCGGCGTCTCTCCGTCACTGCCTGAATTCTCTCGCGTCGTCTCCGGGCGGTCCCAGTCTCCACTGCCGTCTGCGGGCGGCCCCAGTCTCCCTGGCGTCTCCGGGCAGCCCCAGTCCCCCTGGCGTCTCCGGGCAGCCCCAGTCTCCACTGCCGTCTCCGGGCGGTCCCAGTCTCCCCTGCCGTCTCCGGGCAGCCCCAGTCTCCCTGCCGTCTCCGGGCAGCCCCAGTCTCCCTGGCGTCTCCGGGCAGCCCCAGTCTCCCTGGCGTCTCCGGGCGGTCCCAGTCTCCCCTGCCGTCTCCGGGCAGCCCCAGTCTCCCTGCCGTCTCCGGGCAGCCCCAGTCCCACTGCCGTCTCCGGCAGCCCAGTCTCTCTGGCGTCTCCGGCCCAGTCTCCCTGCCGTCTCCGGGCAGCCCCAGTCTCCACTGCCGTCTCCGGGCAGCCCCAGTCTCCACTGCCGTCTCCGGGCAGCTCCAGTCTCCCTGCCGTCTCCGGGCAGCCCGTCTCCACTGCCGTCTCCGGGCAGCCCCAGTCTCCCCTGCCGTCTCCGGGCAGCCCCAGTCTCCACTGCCGTCTCCGGGCAGCCCCAGTCTCTGGCGTCTCCGGGCAGCCCCAGTCTCCCTGCCGTCTCCGGGCAGCCCCAGTCTCCACTGCCGTCTCCGGGCAGCCCCAGTCTCCCTGCCGTCTCCGGGCAGCCCCAGTCTCCCTGCCGTCTCCGGCAGCCCCGTCCCACTGCCGTCTCCGGGCAGCCCCATCTCCCTGCCGTCTCCGGGCAGCTCCAGTCTCCCTGCCGTCTCCGGGCAGCCCCAGTCTCCACTGCCGTCTCCGGGCAGCCCCAGTCTCCACTGCCGTCTCCGGGCAGCCCCAGTCTCCACTCCACTGCCGTCTCCGGGCGTCTCCACTGCCGTCTCCGGGCAGCCCCAGTCTCCCCTGCCGTCTCCGGGCAGCCCCAGTCTCCCTGGCGTCTCCGGACGGCTCTCACCTCGGGTCCGGTGGCCTGCAGCACCCCGTCGCCACGGCCGCGGCCGCACCGCTCCAGCTGCCGCGCCGTTAGGCCGGCTCGCACAAACCCAATGCCGCTCAGCAGCTCCACGAACTGGTGCTTCATACTGGCCAGCATCTCCAGCGTCTTCACTTGCAGGAAGTTCTCCTGTGCGAAGTTGTAGCCGGCTCCGTGTGAGCGTTCGGCCGCCTCCCGCCAGCCCTGCGGCGGACGCAAGGTCAGGTCAGGTCAGGCCAGGCCAGGTCAGGTCAGGTCAGGCCAGGTCGGAGCGGGTCGGAGTAAGGTCCGGTCCAATGCATGGCACGTGCGCAAGGTAGAGCAGAGCGCTGTTGTCGCCCAATCGACATCGGTCTGGCGCACCCGGTACCCACTATGTCGGACCTACTACCCATAGCATAGTCCGCTGCACCCCTGCACCCGTTGGACCGTCCACTGTAGCCAGCACTCGTTGCCCCCAGCTTGCCACACAGGCACCGTCGCCGCCGGCCGGCTAAGGCCTGCAGTACCCGGCGCCGTCCCTGCCGACCGGCCGAGGCCTGCAGTGCCCGGTCGACATCGTCGCCGCCGGCCGGCCGAGGCCCGCCGTACCCGGTCGGCACCGTCGCCGCCGGCCGGCCGAGGCCCGCCGTACCCGGTCGGCACCGTCGCCGCCGGCCGGCCGAGGCCCGCCGTACCCTGTAGCCGTTGAGCATAGTGAGCTGATCGCTGTTGCCGGCGGCGAAGCGCCTGCGGCGAGCGTCGGCCTCGGCGCGGCGCGAGAACGGCGACACGAACGGCGAGCGGAAGCTGAGGCAGGCGGCGATCGTGGTGACGGCGTCCAGACACCGAAACACGGCTCCCAGCAGCAGCAGCTTGCCGATCCTGCCGACAGATAGCAGCACGGACGGACGTCAGAGGGGACGACCGGCGGTGGATGGGCGGGTAGCGTCGAAGGCAAAGGCGGAGACGGTCAACTAGTGACGACCCAGGAGAGGGCCGAGGTGGATCACCGAAGCGGTCACGTCACAAGCCCAGACCCGGGCGTCAGGGACACTGAAGAGATTCTGTCAACAACTCCGTCGGTCGGTCGGCACGCGGCGGCCCCGCCAGCCCCTGCCCCGCCGGCGGCGCCAGCCCCCCTTCCCCCCCCCCACACACACACTGACTCGCCGGCGGCGTCAGCCCGCCCCCACACACATACACCCTTGATCCACTGGCGATGCTAGCCCTCCCCCCCCCCCCACACACACACCCCTGACCTGCCGGCGGCGCCAGCTCCCCTCCTCACACACCCCTGACCCGCCGGCGACACCAGCCCCCCCCCCCCCCCCACACACATCCCAAACACTAACCGCCTTCTCCGGCTGGGCACCAACCAGTGCTACATTTTCAGTCCGGCATCCTGAACTGGATGATTACAATTCTCATAAATGGATTATATAAAAGTGAAAGAAAGCTGAGTTCGATTCCAGACGTTTCAGCTTTAAGACATGCAATATCAAATATAGCAACTGAAGCAGCACATCAGTTTTTAGATCAGCATCGCGTAGCACGCCACGTCAAAAAGTGCGAAATCTTAGCCCAAGAAATCAGCGAGTCACCTCCTCCATATGGGTGTAATCCCGCAGGGCGACACTTATCCCACACAGAATAGGCCCTCTCACCACCGACCACGGTCCCAACTCACCTCTAACCCCTCCCTGATAACGGACGACGCTCCCCCCCCCCCCCTGAGCGGACCACTGACCTGACATCAACCGGCAGGGCGGACACGTGATAGCCGAGTGCTGTCATCTGGCCCTGTTGATCTAGCGCGCCCAGCTCCTCCAGCCGACGCACGGCTGACGTCATGCTGGCATCGGTCGGCGGCTCCAGCACACGGCCTGTCGGCGGGACGTCCTATAACACGGCCTGTCGGCGGGACGCCCTATAACACGGCCTGTCGACGAGACGCCCTATAACACGGCCTGTCGGCGGGACGCCCTATAACACGGCCTGTCGACGAGACGCCCTATAACACGGCCTGTCGGCGGGACGCCCTACAACACGGCCTGTCGGTAGGACGCCCTATAACACGGCCTGCCAGCGAGACGCGTTATAACACGGCCTGTCGGCGGGACACCCTATAACACGGCCTGTCGGTGGGACGCCCTATAACACGGCCTGGGAGCACTGAGGCGATAACTAGCGGCATCTGGAACGGCATACCGGCGCGTCTGTCGGCTTCGCAGACGGCTACAGACAAGTCGCCGGCCAGCCGATCCTGGGCGGCACGGACGTCTCCCGCGGGCGCGGCGCCCGCCTGTCGCGGCTGCAGACACGGCCCCGGCGGCGGCGGTGGACCCGGACCGGACGGAGCGGAGGCGCAGACTCACCGAACACGTGGCGCACGTCGCGGCCCGAGAACAACGGCAGCATCTTGATGCGCAGCACCAGCTGCTCCAGCGGAACCCGCTTCATCTCCGGCACCGGCTGCGACCGGATGTGATGACGGTACCTGACGATACAGATGGCCAAGCGAGGATGTGGCGACGGCACAAGGTGTAGGTGACCGGCCGGCCGAAAATCGAGTCTTCCGTCATACCGGAATACAACACAACGCCAACAAATCAAGAAACGCGCAGCATTGAAGACGGCGAACATCACAGCGTCAGACACAGCACGTATGGTAAACAACACATTCCATCAAGCGCACTTGGCAGAACAGTAGGAAATATTCTTGACCTTGACAAAAGCAACACACTCCCGGCATCCAGCCGCCAATCTGGCCATTCAGACCACCTGTTTTTCCGTGCGCCAGAGACGGGCGCCAGTCAGCGGGCAGCGCCAGCAGGCCCCACCTGCAGCTGGTGTACAGGTGGAAGCACACGCCGGGCATGACGCGGCCGGCGCGGCCCTTCCGCTGGTCAGCGTTGGCACGCGACACCCAGACCGTCTCCAGGCTCTCCATGCGGCGCAGCGGGTCAAACCTGGCGGCGGCGCCGGTCGCCGGTGAGCCGGCGGCCACACATCGGCGCCTCGGTGGCGGCAGCGCGGCTGCCTCGCCGGCCTGGCGAACTGCGTCGTCCTCGACGTGTGCGCGCAGTATGAACAGTGCCGGCCCAAGAGGCTGCCGGCTGCGCCTTGTGAGGGCGTGGTGATTGTCGATTTTCGCAAACGTTGTTCAAAGCGAGTACCTACTGTCAGAGTGACTTTGCCGAAAAGTTAACTTGGCTCCGTTCGTTACGGTTGCCTTTAACACGTTTGACGGTCATTTCCTATAAGACGCTTCATGACCAAAACATAATACCACCATCAAGATGCCAGAGAGAAACGAGCATTTAAGGACGCTGAAATGGACACCATTGAGCTTGAATGCCGCATGGCCAGTGGAATAGCAGGATTTGAGTGGCGTTATTATGGCGTCCTGGATACCTGGATAACTTTGAAGAAGTCTGCACAACCTCGCGGGCTAGAAAGTTTTAGGTCTAAGGAAGGACAGAGCTGTTCAGTGCACCGAATGGTCTTCAAGATGGCTCTTTCAGTTCAAAACCCCGTAAAACATGGAACACGCCTTTTAAATATGGCCATTGGCGGTAAGATAAGCCACACCATGCAAAACCATCATCACTGCGTCCTTCACGCGTGTGACAATCTGCCTCTCGCTACAAACTTCAACAAACATATCACATCCACGGAGAGCAAAACAGCCCGACAGATACTCACATCTTCTCCTTCATCTTGCCACAGTCGATGACGAACACACAATCGTCGATGGTGATGGAGGTTTCGGCGAGGTTGGTGGAGATGACGATCTTCCTCACTCCGGGCTTCGGCTTCCTGCAGAAGCGGACGCGTCAGCTCAACTGCGCGTCACGGTGTCACAGAATGACGTCATGCCATCCCTACTTCCTGACTGGCTGGGTTAACCTTCAACACGGCCTGATCGTCCCATTCAGCGGCCGTGTTTACCTACGAGCACTGCTGCGTCACCCAGTCAGGTCGTGCCACTGGCGGAACAGAGCGTCACCACCTGCCGTGTGGAGGGCTGCCCAGCCACGGGCGGTCACCTGAAGACGAGCTGCTGCTCCTCGCTGCTGAGGCTGGAGTGTAGAGGCACTAGAAGGAAGCGGCCCGCCCGCTTGCCCAGCGCCCGGTGTCCTTGCAGCTGCTCGTAGAGTGTCATGATCTCGGCCAGGCCCGGCAGGAACACCTGTCGGACGATGGGGGCGTGAAAAGCAAACTGGCCGATTGTCTGAAGGGCATCACGGCTCGGAAGCGCCGGGTAAACACGGGAGGAGGCACTGGGTGTCGCTGTGAAACGGCAGAGGTACACCGCACACTGAGCATGTGCCGGAGCACCAGGCACAGACGACGAGCCACACACGGCGACACTGAGGCGTCGGATTTCCAGCTTGTGCGAACGCTCACCGCAAATCGCCGACACACCGAGTCAGAAAGCCCGCGCGCCCTGCCAGCGTCACCAGCGCACACTGTCATCAGATGAAGACTATATGTCTTCATCCGCGTCTAGCAGCTCGCCGCCACGAGACGGCACGCGCGCTCGCCGCTTGGTCCGACGGCAGTCCGCCGTGCCGTCTCGGTGCCGAGCAGCGCCACCACGCACCAGGATAGAGCCGGTCTTCGGGTGACAGTGGTCGCCATCGGCCAGCCACGCCAGCACCGCCTCCACCAGGTCGTAGTTGATCTTGTCCGGATCGGTCAGCGCCAGCGCCTTCCTCGTCCGCTCGCTGTAGTCTGCGCGGGTGGGAGGTGTCTGTCAGGACGTCACGCTAGCTCATGGGACGCAGACGGGTGAGCGGGCCTCAGCTCTGTACCGCTCGGAGAGCAGGCCTCACCTCTGTACCGCTCAGGAGCAGGCCTCACCTCTGTACCACTGTACCGCTCGGTGAGCAGTTGGTGAACAGTTCTCACCTCTGTACCGCTCGGAGGGCAGGCCTCACCTCTGTACCATTGTACCGCTCGGTGAGCAGCCCTCACCTCCGTACCGCTCGGAGAGCGGGCCTTTCCTCTGTACCGATGTACCGCTAGGAGAGCAGCCCTCACCTCTGTACCGTTCCAAGAGCGGGCCTCACCTCGGTACCGCTCTGAGAGCAGGCTGACGGGCAGCGTCTCGTCGCGGCGGCTGGCCAGCGGCGGCTCGGCGCGGACCGACAGCTCCAGCTCGCGGGGCCAGTCGATGGCCCGTCCGCTGCCCTCCTCCGCCGTCAGCAGGTCCCGCTCACGCCGCGCGAACGTCGAGCTCTCCTCGAGCGCGAACGAGGTCAGCTCTATGGCGTCCTCCAGGAAGAACTGGCTGACCGGGAACGTCTTGCCTGCGGGCCACCGCCGGGCTGTCAGTACACGCCCGCTCCTCCCACCACAGACATCGTGACGTCCAGGCTTTCCCTTCGGCGAAGAGAACTTGCGCTCCAAAAGCGTACATAATTACCCATTTCTCATCTGGTTGCTTACGGACTCCCACTGCATGGAGCCGTGAAATCAGCCATGCCCGCCTCGCTGTCCAGTCTGGTTTTAAACCTCGTCGTAAAGAACGTTTGCGCAGAGCAGCGGTAGCGCCTCACACCAATGGCACGAGTCAAGTCACTGCGCTGGAGCGCGGGCCAGCGTCTGACGATGGGTGGGAGCGGCGCTCGGCCGGGGAGCGGTGCTCGGCGGGAGAGCGGCACTCGGCGGAGGAGCGGCGCTCGGCCGGGGAGCGGTGCTCGGCGGGAGAGCGGCGCTCGGCCGGGGAGCGGCGCTCGGCCGGGAAGCGGCGCTCGGCGGGGAGCGGCGCTCGGCCGGGGAGCGGCGCTCGGCGGGGGAGCGGCGCTCGGCCGGGGAGCGGCGCTCGGCGGGAGAGCGGCACTAGGCCGGGGAGCGGCGCTCGGCCGGGGAGCAGCGCTCGGCCGGGGAGCGGCGCTCGGCGGGAGAGCGGCACTCGGCCGGGGAGCGGCGCTCGGCGGGAAGCGGCGCTCGGCCGGGGAACAGTGCTCGGCCGGGAAGCGGCGCGCGGCGGCTGCTGACCCGGTATGTCGATGACGGGTGCGCCGCCGAAGTACGAGGAGAACAGCTTGGCGTCCAGCGTCGCCGACATGAGGACGAGCCGCAGGTCGGGCCGCTGCGGCAGCAGGTCACGCAGGATCATCAGCAGGAAGTCACTGTGGGACGTCAGGGGACGTCAGAGGCGCTAGCCGGTCTCCGGCCGCTCTGGGGAGCCGCTCGACCGCCGTTAGTTCGCGGCTGCGCGCCGACCAGGTCACCGCACGCTGCTGCCTGCTGATGGAGCTCTTTGTTGGCGCCAGTGGGTCATAGCACGCACGTGAATACCAAGCCACAGCGTAATGCAAAAGCGCCATGAACAAGCCAACAAGATATCGCAACATTCAAGCTCCAAAGAAACAAACTCTGCGCACAACAACCCACCGGCCAACCATTCGTTAGCACATAGGTATGCATATTTCCTAAAAGCAGGCTACGTGCAATGGTTGGTCTAAGACTGCATTCTTTCAAAACCGAATTGTCATGTCACTATCCATTAATGACATTGGCTTCCCACAGCCCCGACGCTCTAAGCCGAACATGACCTACGCAATAGCTAAGTGGCACCACTGGCGCGTCGCCCGGCACCACACCCGCCGCTGCCGCCGGACCGACCTCTCCTCACTGCGCTCGTGCACCTCGTCGACGATGACGTGCGTCACGCCGTCGAGGCCGCCGGAGCCCTCCAGCCGGCGCAGCAGGATGCCCGTGGTGCAGAACAGCAGCCGCGTCCAGGAGGAGGTGCGGCTCTCGAGTCGGATCTGGCGGCGGCCGGGACGCGTTCGGTGCCCGTTTGGCGTAGGGCGGGCAGGTGGGGAGCGAGGGACTGGCCAGCAATAGAGTATTTGCGCACAAAAGACGTAAAACTAAGCGTGGTTTGGTAAAACACATGTATATGTTATCTACGGAGCTGAGCATGTTGTTTACCAACCACCTCAAGTTGTTCAGTTTCAGCATTCCATCTAAAAACCATGCCCCACGCCGGCAGAGAAGTAACAGTGACTGCAATGCTTCTATCCAGGCCGGGTCACACACACATACATCGCTTGACACCAGTCTGGTCACCAACTCGGCGGCTGGAGAGTGTTGAGACCGGCTCACCGACCGCTGCTAGTCAAAACCACACTGACGAGCATCCGCCGGCCAACACAGCGCCAAACCGGCCTCTCCAGCAGGCCCAGCCGCACCCAGCGCGTTCTTAGCGCACGCGGCGCGCGCTCGGTCCCTCCCGGTGGGCGCCCCACCCCTCACGGCGCGCGTTTCACCGCTCCTGGCGCGCGCTCGATCCCTCCTGGCACGAGCTCCACCGCTCCCGGTGCACGCCCCACCGCTTCCGGCGCGCGTTCTACCGCTTCCGGCGAGCTTCAGCGCTCCCTGCACGCGCTTCACCGCTCCTGGCGCGCGCTTCACCGCTCCTGGCGCGCGCTTCACCGCTCCTGACGCGCGCTCCACCGTTACCGACCGCCGCCGGCACGCGCCCTCTCACCTGATAGCCGACCGTGTTGCCGACCTTCTCGAGCCGTTCCTGGGCGACGCGCTCAGCCACGCCAATGGCCGAGATGCGACGCGGCTGCGTACACACCAGGCTGACGTCCCGCGAGCTTTCCGAGGCCAGCCACTCGTCCAGCAGGAACTGCGGCACCTGCGTCGACTTGCCGCAGCCCGTCATGCCGCTAACGATGAGGACCTGGCGGCGCGGGACGATGCTGTAGCGACGACAGAGGCGGGCAGGATCGAGGCGGGGTGGACAGAGGCGGGCAGGATCGAGGCGGGGTGGACAGAGGCGGGCAGGATCGAGGCGGGGTGGACAGAGGCGGGCAGGATCGAGGCGGGGTGCACCGCGCCGGTTCACAATATCGAGAACGACACTGTTGTGGGGGTTCGGAAGTGAGATGGTGCTGCTTCAGGACACTAGTTTGCACTGACAGGTGTAACTGACCTGGCCAAACGAGCACTAATTTGTGGTTGGAGCCGACGCATACCCTCCATGACCACAAAACGAAGAGCGAACCTGCTCTGACGCAATTAAAACGCACCTGATTCTCCCTGATGGTGTTGACGATGTTCTCGCGCTCCTTCCACGCCGGCAGCTTGCTCCTGGCCTCTTGGAACTCCAGGTAAGCCTTGTTGTTGGCCTTCTCCGCGAATCGCCGCCGCAGCTCCTCCCACTCGTGACTGCGGCGGGCGGACGGCCGCGCCGGCCGCGGCGCCCTGACCGTGCCGTTCTGCACGGGCGCGGCGGACGGCGCGGCGGCCGCGGGCCCCGGCCGCGCCGCCTCCACCAGCTCGGCCGGCAGGCTATGCGGGTGGTAGCGGCCGCCGGCCACAGCCAACACCAGGGGCTCGTCCTGCAGCAGGCTGGTGAGAGCGAACACGGCCGGCTGGCCGTCGGCCGCCAGCTGGCGCGCCTCCTCGGCTAGCCGCGCCGCCAGCTGCAGGCACACCTGCGGCGGGAACGGCCGCCACGCGCAGGTGAGCGCCAGCAGCGGCGGCTCGCGCGGGTACCGGCTGCCCGGCGGCAGGCGCACCTCCAGCGTGAAGCCGGCCGGCTCGTCGGGCCGTCGCAGATGCTCGGGCGTGCGCGGCCGGCCCCCGGGCGGCTCGTGACTGTCGCGACACCGGCGGCCGAACTTACAGTGCCCACGCGCGAAGAAGCGGCACGGCATCGGCGCCGGGCCCGGCGGCGGCGACGGCGCGCGCGGCCGGTGCTGGAACGCGCCGCTGAGAAAGCCCAGCTCGAGCGCCACTGTCCACAGCCGGTCGGGCTCACGCTCCTCGAAAGTGTCGCCGTAGATGGCGCGCAGGGCGGTGAGCTCGTCGCGCCGCTCGGCCAGGTAGGCGAGGTCGTCGGCCGGCGCCGGCGCCGGCGGCGCAGCGACGCTCGGCCGGAAACAGTCGGCCAGCAGCGCGTCGAGCGCGGCGTCCAGCTGGCCGCCGGCCGCCGCCAGCGCCGCCGCGCACCGCGACTCGTGGAAGCCGTACCTGCCGCGGAACGGCGCCGGGGTGACGGTCGTGGGTGGCGGGGCGGGGTGGGGTGGATCTATAACGGGCTGGCGCCATAGTGCGGGACATGTGTGCCCTCAGTGACGCCTGGCGCGGAGACCAGAGCGCGGCAGCCTCACGGCACGCTACAGCCGGGAGTGGGGGTGTGATCTCACTGAGACAGCGCATGGTTAGCCGGACTCGGTACAGTGAGTTACTCTATTAACACAGCTGCCGGTGGCGGCGCGCGGCTAGCGCAGCTGCCAACGGCTCGACCCGCAGGGCATCCCTGTACATGGTCGCTCCTTGAGGTCCCCTCCCCATCGCAGCACACGCGGGGAGTGAGCGAGCAACGCTCCCCACATGGCAGTACATGCCACGATCGTACACCGGACTGTCACAACGGCACCGAGGAGGCGCCAGACTGTAAAAAGGCGGCGAAGCGAACGGTCCAGTTCAGTGCGTCTCTGAGTTGCGCTCGTCCCGCAGTCACGTCTTGACCGCCATGGCAACCGGTCGACAGGGCCCACACCACGCGATCTGACACAGCCTGGGGCGCAGCATCTACCCACGTGCTCACGCCACTGGAATCGATTATTCCGCTGCGCCGACTACATGTTTTACACGGTTTAGGTTGCGCGGGCGAAGCCTCCCGAGATTGCACCGAACACACAGATCCACCCTCTGTCCATTGCGGAGCACAACTCTGGGCCAGGTAATGACGGAGCTCATCCCTGATGCCTCCTGCGGTGACCTCCACCCCTGCAGGTGGCCCACTGCAGGACTCACCTCTGCAGCTGGTCCATGGCGTACTGGTGGAACTCGGCCTCGGGGTCGGTCTCCTGGTGGTCGGCGGGCGCGTGAAGACGCGCGCCCTCCACCACCAGGTGGCGGTCGTGCATCCAGTACTGGCGGCTGAGGTCCCCCCAGCCCACCGACACGTCCACGTCGTCCACCAGGAACCGCTGCCGCGAGCAGCGGCCGGTCACGCGGGGCGTCACGGCGGCGCGGCACGGACACACGCCACGCGGCGGGCGGAGACCGGCACCTCACGAGCGGACGCTGGAAGGCGTCACGCCGACCGTCCGCCGCGCGCCGATCCGCGCGCGACGTCACACCCGTCACGACGGGGCGCCGCATGGGGTACTGCGGCGCAGGCGGACGGGCCTCCGCGGCGGCCACGCCGGCCGGCGCTGTGACAGCGGATGCACAGTCGGGGCCGCCTGCGGTCAGCGGCGTCGCCACAAAGGCGTGGTGGGTCCGCGCTCCGACGGCTGCCACCGTCCTTTAACGCGCGCCCGGGTGGCCGGTTGGATACCCTTCGCTCGAGTGGGCTGGGGGCCAATTGGACCCCCCACGATCTCAGGAACTAAGCGGGCTAGACACCAAATTCACAGGGTGTGTTGGCCTGTACGCGAACTCGCTTTGGGTCAAAGTTTGGGCCTCCTATTTCATGTACTTCGGGTCAAATACGGTCAAGCAAGATCAACTCCAAGTTGGCCCTCAAAGTGTCCTTAGAACCTACATACCTGTTCTCAGCAAAGGGTCACATGCTCATTCAAGATCAGTGACCTTGTCTGACCTTTCTAAGGTCATGATGACCAAAATTATAGAAGACTGCTTTGAATTTTGCATTTGAATAAGCGATAAATATTAAGGTACGCAGTAAGCTCCTAAAAACGAAATGCTGACCTCGGTCATTTTAGGTCAGTAACCTATTCTGACCTATACAAAGTCCATGGAAAATGTCTAATGCGGTTCCCGTCATCAATAAATTTGAAATGGGCACCAGAAACCATCGAACACAGCAAGCCCTTGAGTAATAAGACAGGTTGGTCTTAGCCTCGGTCTGACCTTCATATCTAACCCTGTATCAAGTAAATTTGGTCACTCAATTGTTGCGCTGCCTAACTAAGCATCTCAGAGATGTGTGGCTTCGTCTCACACTCTGTTGTACAAACAGATTGAACGATTCCCTTGAAATTGACTTCGCTGAATCTGTAGCCTGACTTTGACCTGCCATAGGTCAGGAACCTTACAAGATGCATCCAAATTTTTGATATCACACGATCTGCTATTGAATTGTCTACAGCTATGCAAAATTTGGCGCGGCTACGCCGTGCCGTTCGGAAACCATTCCGAAAAAACCTCAGGAGGGGGTCAATTTGGTTCCCCCACCGAGCGCGTGTTAATGCCCGCCAGGGATTGCAGCAGGTACACCAACACCATATCGTTTACGTGGTTAACTAATCGTAATATTGCTATGAACGTCGGTCATATTCCGACTCAACAGCCAGCGCTGATCTTTAAAGCAGTCAAGATGAAACATGACTCAATTTCCGCCACTCCTTCAACGGCGCGAAAAGACTCGTACTAAAATGGGATGCGAAACAGAAAAACTCGCGTGTTTTCGCACTGGTCGGTTTAGGCATCATTCGTTTTTCGAAACATTTTGCAGCGTGTATACAACCAATGCACGTCCAGGCAGGGCTTACTGAAGAACAAAAAATTGTAATTTGCAGCATTACTTTGCATACAAATCTTCATTTTAGACATCATTCTTCCTGTGTCATGACAAATCTGGTATGTCCACTCATCTTCAGCGAACTTCTCTGGGACGACAATTCAACACAGCACGATTATTACGAGGATTCTCCCCAATAGTGCGGCAGTAATAACGACCATCACCATGGGCTGCTACTCATCACAATGCAGCGATGCAGAATGGCAGAGCTCTCTGGATTTGTTTACCACAAGTTTGGACCTCCCGCGAAATCATCACCCACTGCAGTCCCCTGCCGAACACCGCAAAGCAGACGACACTTCCCAGTCGCACCTTGCCCTGGATCTCCTGCAGCGTTTCCGTGATCAGTTTCTGCGTGTCGGGGTTCATGTAGAGACGCTTCATCTCCACCTTTCTCCTGACTGTAGGAGCAGGAGAAGGAGCAGCCGGAGCGGCCGGCGCCGCCGAATTCCTGTCCTGACCTCTGCAATGGGACAGCCTATTTCAGCGACCCGGGAAGTGTCCTGAAACTGGCCTTTGAGGATGCTAGGATTGGATGGATTTGGTTCCGTTAGTTATACACATTGTGGCAGTTCTTACACGCACTTTCAGCAGTTCGTCCATCGAAAAACGCATGAACAACGCAGCTTTGTGAACTTGATTTTGCAATACATTTACAATATTCTCTGTCATTACATCAAAGCATGATTTCCAACAACTTTTCCTTGTGCTCTTCATGTTCCATGTGTCTCATTTTTGTAGCGGTCGTGTTGCAAGGCAACCGGTGAGCATGATCGCATGATCGCATCAATCAAGACACAGTTGACGGCAAATATGAGGGGAGAGAGCTGGGAGCTTTGAGGTGGCTGGATTTGAATGTTATAGAAGTGCTATTTCACCAGGCCAGAAACTTCGACCTCCCATATGCCAGGGTTTACTGATAAAACGACGCTACCAACCGCACAGTGGCGAGATCCGAAAATCCGAGATTTCGGATCTGTGTTCATGGTCACGAGGAACCCGTGACCGTGACCACGTGACCACGACTCGTGACCAAGCGACGAACTCGTGATCGTGACGTGACGAGGAACTCGTGACAGTGAACAAATTACCACATGAACGTATGAACAATGAAGACATGAACTCGTCAATCCGTGCCCACGAGAAAAGCTTCGAAACCCAAACTTTCTCAACACAACCAATGCTTGCATGGTAATGCATTTTAACCAGCACGTATCGGGTACTGAAAGTTTGATAACTTTCAATAGCAGAACACATTACTCATAATAAATTCGTACTGGGAAATTAGTCTTGATTCCGCAGTTGTGGAGCACAATTTTTCTGTCTTGGAACGAAACATTGTCTGGTCAAAGGCACGTGGTGTTCTCCCTCCGCAAAATTATGCTACCTTGCTGCCGAGCGAAAACAATGTTTGTGGGTGGACAATTGCATGCACCTCGCTTCAGCACCTTCAATCTCCAAACAGGTTATGAATTCAGTATGCAATAACATAATAAAAAGATACTGCATTTAGAATAGATCACAATTCACAGCATTTTTCAGCCATAGACCTGTAGCCCAAGCTTTCATTGTTAAATTTCTGTCAGCAACCACTTGATCTGTTTCCTAATTTGTTAATTTCAACCAGCACTAACCGATAATTATATCTAAAAGGTCATTTAAAACTTATCTATTGACTTCAGGAAAACTTAAAACATTCAAACCCTTACACCACTGCCGCGAATGTTGCCCCACTTTCTGCGGCCTTTACACGCACTTTCGATTTTTCAAGTACTTGATTAGCTTCGATATATCTGATGATGGTCAGTGATGTCCTTGCGGGACATCACTGATGATTTCATAGCGACGGCACGGAGGCCATCCGAGACCGACTGAAGCAATGGTGAGGCTATCGCGGGTCCCTCCCGGTCCGGCGCGCACGGCCGCTCGGCCCCCCACAGTCCCGAACATGGAGGCTGTGAGGGCTGCCTCGCCATGCTGCCGGCCGACTCAGGCGTCGCCAGCGCGTGGATCGAGGTGGTGAATGCGGATAAGAGAGGGTGGATGTATGGCTTAGCTGCAGACACAATGTTGTTTGTTCCACAGTGTTTAGCGAGGGCCCTTGTCCGTACCTGTTCTTAGGCTCCGGTCGCTGCACAACGACGGCGTCTTCGTCGTAGTCGGCTGCTCCGCCTTTTCGGCTGACACTCTGGCCTTTGGACTTGGGCTTGGGGCCAGCATACTGGCTGCCGTGGCCACCACGACCTCCGCCGCGGTTCTTGCCGCCACCAGGGCGCTTGGCAACATTACGATTCATTATCCGCCTGCAAGGAAATCACTTGTTATGACCTAGGACTGCCGCCTCTGCACATCCACATAGCTGCAAGCCTCGCTCGGGTCGCTTGCCTGGACGGATTCAGCTTCAGCCCCTCCCTTTTAAACAGCAAATGATGTACATTGTGAATGGCGCAAGAGGACTACTACATGTAGGTTCACACATGTAAATTTTAAAAACAAGGAATGCAAAATATCGTTCTTTATAGATGAATGAATGAATGAATGTTAGAATGTGATGTGATAATGAATTTATAGAACAAATGAATGGCACATGGACAAAGTAAATACATTATCAAAGGAACCGGCCACTAGTGATTACATTGGCCTCACAAGGCGCTTGGCAGATGCCCTATTCTCAGTATTTTACGAATACAATTTACACGAACCTAAGCCTACACGATAACAACTGGACCGAATGCTATGCAAGGATGGCTCTGGGTCGGGATACTAAGCTGGCTTGCCAGAGATCCTGACTCCGCACCAGTAGAGCCTTTCCAGTACAGTAGAAAACTGCTGCCAAGGTATCGTAATGTTCCATTTAAGGTCGCGTCAATGCAAACACGTCTCAGCCCGACATCCTCACTCGCTTACCACCCGGCAGCCGAAGACGTCACGTAACCGCGGCCTGTTGGACGCGGTTATGTGACGTACGTTTGTCGCTTTTGAGGGGAGATTCCACCAACTCGGCTACACTGAGGCATTCTGGGATAATATGAACATGTTTCAGTGATAACTTTCTTCAGCATTCTCGTCACGTCATCTCTCAAAAGTTTAAGAATTTTCCACCGCTTTAATATTTCGAGGAAGCCTATTCTACCAATCAATACCTCGATGGGAAAGTGCTCAAATACTTACAAATACACAGGCCTACAGCAATTTGTGCAATAAGCCCTGGAAAGAGACGAAAGTCAGAAAGATCGAGAAGAGGCAAGGCGAAGAGAAAAACTGGACAGAGCAAAAATAAGACAGAAAAATTGGAGATAGAAGAAAAAAGATAGAGAAAAAAACTGGAGAGACGAAAGAAGGCGGTCAGGAGAGCTGGAGAGAAAACAAAAAACAGAAAAGAGACGAGACGGAGAGGGCGTGAGGAACGGGAGGAGCGGTAGCGCATAAGAAACCACAATTTTTAGATGAAAAGCCTTGCTCTGCAGGTAGCACAGGCGACAGATGTCAGCACGGGCAGTGTTGTCCCATCTGATACCGATTCAACCCTAAGACTGCCGCCGTTGGTGGACGGAAAGGACGACATTGGCTGCTACTTTCAGCGTTTCGCGGGGACTTTGCGATGGCCTGAGGAAAGCTGGGCGTTAAGATTAGGCGCCCTCCTAAGGGGAAAGACACTAGAAGCGTACTCTAGAATCTCCGACGGAACCTGTCGTACGTAAGCGCTCCTGATGAGGTATAACACGAATGGAAATGGGTTTCGTCTCAAGTTCCGCACATCCTAGCTGGAGGCGGGTAAATGTCCCTAACCGTGTTTATCGCGGTTGAGCGAGCATTTCATGCGATGGTTCGATATGCCTGAACACCAAACAATTTTGGCAGGGTACAGGACCGCATGGTAAAGGGTCAGTATTTGACCAGTTGCCCAAGGACCTTTGCATTCATCTCCACGAACAGGCATTCGCTATCGGACCGGTATCCTGCCGCTGATGACCGCGTCCTAGCGTGGCATTTGTTATCACGAAGCACCGAGCCATCCCCAGAGACTAGGCGGGAGAAGCGCCAGGGCACAACGTCGGACCGGTATCCTGCCGCTGATGACCGTGTCCTAGCGTGGCATTTGTTATCACGAAGCGCCGAGCCATCCCCAGAGACTAGGCGGTAGAAGCGCCAGGGCACAAGCGTCGGACGCCCCGCCGCCTCGAGACCAGAGCCGACTGTATTGCTACAGCTGCAACGGCCTGGGGCATCGGGTAGCTAAATGTGGTCAGCGAGATCATCGCACCGGCACGGGACCGTATCCAGGTGAGGTCGACCCGCGAGGTGACCCCGGTCCGAGGCCCGTAAGCATGCACCGGAAATGGATCGCCAGAAAGGCATCGGTCAAGCTTACATCACCCGAGAAGAAGAGGAGGCGCATGGTCATAAGGAACCAGGGGGAATCGAGAGCAGACAGGAAAATCGTGGGACAGCGCACGAGGCGGCGGCGGCGGTTGTAGCGTCGCCACCGTTTGGTACGACTCCGGAGTTGGGAACTAGAGCAGCAAACCAACAGGAACCGGATTGTATGAAACATGATGAAGTAATGCCAGCCAACGAAAAGACCACCCCACTGTGAACGGCGCGCCCTTGTACCAAAAACCGGAGCAGAGGGCTTCCATGTAGGTGGCGAAATATCAAGTTGATAACACGGTCATGAGCGTTCTACGCGATACCGGATGCAGGTCGGTCATATATCAGCAGGACCTAGTAGAGGAAGATGAGCTCACAGGCGGGTTCTCGCTCATGCTGCTGACTGCAACGCCGTGCGCAAGGTGCCTGCAGCGACGATCCCCGTTGGTACTTCATGCGTGGTAGGAATGATAAAAACTGTGTTAGCCTAAAACAATCAACGACTTCATAAAAGGTCAGGTCACAGGTGTTCATGCACCAGATAATCCTGACCCCACATAGCGCGGGCAGGCTCAGGACAGACAGTCTGGGAGTGGGTGCTTACGGCTACCTGGGCCGTAACCAGGGCCCCGGCCAGGAGAGGAGCGGGACTGCTGGGATCTCGCGATTTGACGAATGCGGCTCTTGTGCCCGCAGGTAGGCTCACGCAGATGCAGTAAGAAGATGTCACGCTGACCGCCCTACTTGAAGGGAAAGGAGCTTACGTGAAGCGCGGCAAGAGGGTGAGATACGAAACGACCGGAAATATCTTGCTTCGAGTCGTTAAGCCTATTGGACCAGCGCCTGCAGAGCCCCCCCCCCCCCCCCTCCCCCCAGCCATGCCGTGAAGATCGCCCACCAGTCTCTATTAGCAGGTGACGTGGAGACGGAGAGCACTGAAAAGATCCTCACAAGATCTTACTGGCCGGGACTAGGGGCGGAGGTACGGCGTTTCTGTCACTCGTGCCACGAATGCCAACGCACTGCAAGCAGGGAATCGTTGGGAAAAGCGCCCCTGGACAAACTGCCTCAGATTGATAGACCGTTCCAACGCGTCGCCTTGGACCTCAATGGGCCGACTCAACCGCCTGGTGAAAAGGGACATCACTATATCATGACTCTGGTCGACTACGCCACGCGATATCGGGAGGCGCTACGCTCAAAACCATCACGACGGAGGCCGTGGCCGAGGCGCTTATCGATCTTTAAAGCCGACCGGGTGTTCCTGATGAGATTTTCACCGCGTTAGGAAGGCAATTTGTCTCAGGCTGTATACAGGAGCCTCTCTACCAAACCGATGTGCTACGGCTTGGTAGAGAAGTTCAATGACACGCTGAAGACCATGCTCAAACGTCTCTGCAGTGACCACCCACGGCTGTGGCACCGGTGCCTTGGTGCCCTGCTGTTCGCCTACAGGTAAGTCCCCAAAGAGTCCAACGTTTTTTTTCGCCGTTCCAGTTGTTACGGCGATGTATGGTAGGGCAATGCCAGCCCCAGGGAGATTTTGAAGCTGTGGACAGAAGAGGGGGCCAACTGCGGAGACAAAGACAAGCTACCAGTATGTCTTCGAGCTGAAAGAGAAACTGGAGCAGGCTCTGGAACTGGCGCGACATGAGCTAGAATGATCTTGGACCAGATAAAAGCAGTCATGAACAGACATGCAGGAGCTGAAAGACTGGAGTTCAGAGCAAATATGCTGATCCATCTTTTGTCAGGAAGTAACAAGCTGCTCATGCAATGGCAAGGCCCTTGCAAAGCCCAAAAGAAGTTGGGTGAGTGTGACTACAAGGTCAAGATGAAAGATCAGTAATGATGATGAGTTGACATCTTAGGAAGCATCAATATCAAAGGCCACATTGCACCCATAATGGCTCTTAAAGGCTGTATTATGTTTAAACTAGAAAGGAGCAAATATAGCTGGAAATTTTATGTCTGCAAGAAATAAAAGTAAATGGTTTGAGTATTAAGATGTAGACATCTCCCAACATTTCACAATTATTCAAACATGACACTTGTCACCCAAAATGATGCCATCATTCTTCCTTGCAATGTGAACAGGGAGCAAAGCACATGATGGACTATCAAGAGTAAGCCGCATTTAGGGCATTGAGGTCTCCCCTTCCCCACACACGCACACACAACAGGAAGTCATGTGTCGCATAAGCACAGCCAATTCGCAGATGGCACAGGGCACCATTAAAATCTGAGCTACCTGGTTTGTCAAATCTAATGTCATATGTGACATGGTATGTAACCTGTGAAAGTGCCAGACTAGTGCATTCAATACCAAGGTTTTATTCAAAATCAGCATGTTGATAAACAGTCAATTCTTTACATTTTTGGGCAATGGGGTTGTAAGCCACATGTATGAGAATATCTCCTTGTTTCTTGTTTCTCTCATCAGTTAAAAAACTAACAGCATAGAATGCTAAGAATCAAGTTAGAACAAATTGCTGACAAAACAATTATGTGACAATGCATGCTTGCATTCTGTGAGTAGCATGGATGTATGCAGCATGACAATCTAGATAAGTAACCCACAAAAAAGTTCTGCCTTGCAGCACCTGTGCTGCAGTTGTACAAGGGAAAAATTATATATCAAGCTTAATACAAGTATGCTGAGCCAGGCATACACATTTTTTTCAGGCAGCAGCCTCCTCTGCAGTTGTGTGCAGATCAATATGGTTGTGATATGATGATACAAACAATATCAAATTTAGAAAAATTATGCCAAGCCTGTCACAATTAGCACAAGCAGTGTGCAATACATGTGACTGCATGACAAATAAAAAGAGTATGACTTATAAGCATAATACACCAGTAGAAGAAGCAAAATGGCAACTGAACTTCATGCTCAGAAGTGAAAAACTTGGTTACTTTTTTATTCCCCTTCACAAAACCAAAAGGGGATAGTGGCATTCAGCCAACTGTAGGTTTCTGTGCAGATAAAAGTGCTGAGACTTGAGAGCTGAAAGCAGGAGGGATCAGCCCCCAACTTCATGCTAAGTTGGCATTCGCTCTGTGAGCGTTGACTTGAGGGATTAGGTAAAAAACGGCTTTTGCCACGCCATCCGAGACTTAAAAGAACTTCCTGTGCCCCACGACAGGTACATGCTCACAACTTACCCAGGTATCCCTTATGGTCAAAATATCAGATCGCTTTACAAAATATTTGAACCCCTTAAAATGAACCCCTGGCTTGATGTAGGACGGGCAGCACGCAACGCAATCAACGCGGGCAGCAACACCCCATACAGACTTAGTCTCGCGTGGACTGGTTAGATAGCCTTGGGCTGTACACACCCGTACTATAAGCTGCGCGGCTACAACGAATACGCCAATATTGTCACCAATGCGGAACTTTGGAAGAATATAATAGCTACCAGATAATGTGTCATAAAGGGAATAGCGAATTCATGCAAACTTCTCTCTTCGGCCGCGTTCGCTTTGTCGTCAGCACATTTACCAGCAACAATCACGGCCCAGTATTCCCCCTACGTCACGTCACGTGGCCACAAAGTCACACGTTATGTTACGTCACGCACTGGCTGACAACGATGCCAGGATTTGTTTGGCCCCGTTCGATCTGTCGTCAACACAATTGTCAGCAGGAATGCGTGACGTCACGTGTGCTGACAGCGCGTCTGATGTATGGGCTGACAGGAATTTTTAAACTTTACTTTCCCTCCTTCTTTTACCATGAACTTTAGTCCATACACTAACTCTGACTTAACGCCGGCCATGACACACTACGTCCAAAGAGGTACTTGGAAGTGTGACTTCAGTTTCGGTATAAGCATCATCTATCCCAGCCGTATGTTGAGTGTTTCTTTCCATGTCCAATTCATTTCAATCTCGTCCACGTCATTTTAGATGTTTACTTCTGACGCTATTAATTTACTTGGTAACGCAGCCACAGACCACACCAATCACTGTCACTCGCCATTGCATGGCTACTCTTGGCATTTCAGTTCCATCCTTATCTATTTTACGTCGCATTGCCCCCAAAATCAGACAAGTGCCCCCACCCCACCTGACGGCCATACACGTTCGTCAAGTTGCCACCACGTTCACATCCAGATCCAGGCCCATATGCGAGGTTCAGCGGACTCCTCAAATGGGTCTGAAACGTTGTATATAGAGCAGTTTAATCTCCTGAGCACAATGAGCACAAAAGCTCAGGCCGGTTACCCTATTGCCGGAGATATGTCGAGATGAAAGATCACAATGACGAAAGCGGACTCCTTCAATTCTTTCTAACTCCGTATGCTGGTATATATTCAAATCCTGATTACAGAAAAAAACACGAGATCATGGACTGGTACGCAGAATCAAAAAGGTTCTAGCTGTTCTAATGTCAAGGTCGCAAATCCAGGACGTATCTCATGGTATCATCCTTGACTTAGTGTTATATTTGACATTCAGCGGATCCCTCGGATTGGCCTTCAATTTTGTCTACAGATGCAGTCTAATCTCCTGAGCACAATGAGCACAAAATCTTGGACCGGTATGCCTCATTACCGGAGATATATCAATATAAAATATCACAATAAACAGGCGGACTCCTTCAATGATTTCGAAACTCCGTGTCCTGATAGATGTTGACCCGCTGATTCCAAAAACGAAAAACGATTAAATCTTTCAAAAGGAAACGCCAATTCGGTGGCATAAGTGCTGACCGCATTCAAAACTGCAATCACATGAAACCCGAATCACATTACACAAAACCCAAGGTCACATGAAAACATTTTCATCGTGAGAGGATGATGCATTTTAAAATCACACGTTTAAATGGGAGAAAATGTTTTGGTACACAAATCAATAGTGACTGTAAAACACTGCACTGAATCCAGTTGATGGGATGGCTACATGCACGCCAGTAATCATCAAAGATGCTCGAATATCGCCAAAACTACGGGCAAAAGTACGCATCGTGCGTGCGAAGAGCATCTAAAACTGACCATGTTATGGCATGTTTCTCAGTATCCACAGCCATCCAATCAGGCATTGGGCCCAGTCACCACTACACCTGGTAATTAAGCCAGAGCGTCGCAGACGAACACTGCCGCAATTGGTCAGAGGTATCGAAAATCGGCTACGGAACTCGAACTGTGCACCCACACAACTACACATCCACAGGTGATAGCTGAGTCAAGCCCATTTACATCGTGCGACTGAAGCACAATACGCTCTGTCGAACGACAAGGGTCATACCTACTAAAATGTGCCACCGAATTTTCCCAAGGATGGAGGCCGGGCAGCCCTTCTTGGTCATCTATTTACAGTCAATGTCCATGACTGCGATACCTCATGTTCTTTAATTGGGTCTGAAACGCCCTGGTCCCTGCTCTCTCCCTCCCTCCCACCACCCATATTACTGAGCTCCTGTCTAATGAAGCACCCAGCAACATGAAATACCAACTTTTTACCTGATTCATCGACATGCTGATCCACACAGCTCAGCGGAGTGTGAGCGTTCGCATACAATGCTTGATAATCTCATAATACATGTTGCGTTAGCAGCGTTTTTGAAAGAAACATTACACCAAATTACCAGGAGCGCGTTCAAACGCCATCACTTAGGATCACACAACAAGGAACGGCCAGTCAGCTACTCACTCATTATGGGTAGCCATATGGCCGTTCATGCAGCAGTCTGCTGGCTCCGGGCGTTCACGCAATAGCCCGTACGCCGGGGCGTACGCAGACGCCAGCGCACTCCGAGTCGAGCTGCACCTGCAGCGTACTGAGGTAGTCGCGCAGCAGGTACTGGCACACCTCTTGTGCCCCCGGCCGCCGCACACCAAGTCTGGGACAGCAGCGGCGGCAGCAGTCTAAAGCCACTGCACCGCCACCGAGGCGACGGGCAGCAGCCGGTCAGACAGGTGCCGGTGGCGGCGGGAGCGGCAACCAACTAGCATCGATGTGGTGCACCAGCTACGCCAGCTCGGTGGACCCGCCGCCCGCTGGTTACACACGTTGGTGAAACAGGATGGGACAGTTGCCGCTGACTCCCGCCGAAGTGGGCCGACCAGAACCAGACAGGCCAGCGGTGCCGCTGGTGGTCATGCTCCTGCGACCAGACGTACGCCCACTGTTGAAAGCTCACGAGATCACAAAGTGCCCCAAACCTCAGTATAACTTTCCAAACATGCATGCTCTTTTTCAATTCACTTGCGAAACAGTTGACTCATTCCCAGTGCAGTGGATCAACGGGCCTTTGTACACGCACAGAGCAGAAAAAACGCACAGGGCTGGGCGTTAAAACAGTTTTAAAGCACCTGGTTCATTGCTTCATTTCTGTGCAGTGACCAGGAGCGCACAACAGATTTTTGTGAGAAGCGCTCCGACTTTGAGGTGTATCTGGAAGAACTCTCATGATCGCCCTGGGTAGCAGCACCTGAAGACCTTCACATGGTTGCCATCTTTCCTTGATACCCTGTTTTTGTGTCATCATGATTGATGTGCAATGTGCTATTCCCTGGCATCATTCATTCTTTGTCCAATGCAGTGGGCTAACAGGGCTTTGCCTGCAGATAACATGCGAAGGTCTTAAAAATGCGATATAATCATAAAAAGGGCATTTGTAAAGGGGGGGGGGGGGGTGTTTCCTGTTCATTGCTGTTCATTACTGAAGAAAACCATAGCACATGTACATAGCACAGACAAAAAGTTTTAGAATTACCCACTTTTTACCAGATCAGACCAGAGGCCATTTACCAGAAAGGAATCTTTTTTCATAGGAAAGGAATCTCAGCCCTTAAAAATATGCTATCCCAGCATAATGTGCAGCAGCACCTGCCTTTTTAAAGCTCACACTTAGCACCAGTCTAGCGGCTCAGAAGTAGCGTTGGATGCAGTTTCTGAAATTAATGAAAATGGGTGGATGTTTGTATGGTTTATCACTTAAAACTTCATGAACATGAGCAGTTCAAAATTGTGTTTAAGTTCTGTGAAGGACAACCCTTCCTACTTGCCATAAATGGTGGGTACCATGGTCAGCCAGGCAAGAAGGATGCGTGTTGAAACGTCCAGAGCTCGTAACGTCGGTTGGTCAGAACGTCCAGAATCGCAGCATCCAACATTGACAGCATCCAGAAACAGTCCAATGTCCATGGCCAGAGGAGAATCAGAAAGTCCAGGCACGCGGCGTCCAGAACCGCAGCATCGAGGCTTCAAAATGTCCAGCGTTCATAAAGCCCAGCGCGCGCCAGATCCAGCGAGTGGGATGCTGTCCCACTTCCTCGCAACCCTTCACCTAGTGGTTCCGATTTTTCCCGATAGAGAGCTACCGTAGCCGATTTCGCGCGCCTCAGCCGACGAGTGATGTCTCGCGGCATGGTGCTACCCGGGTATACCACTGCATGGAAATGGACAACGTTTTGTTTATGCACGCAAACTTTGGTGCGTCAGCACGCCCTTGGCAGCAGGCACATTAGAATTCAAAACTATGATCACTGGCTTGTGGCATCGGACATAGCTGGCTATTCAGCGGTAGCTGCACGGTAATCGTGGAAGGCACGTGTCGGGGTGCGCGCTGTTTGGTATTGCGGGCTATAGTTAAAAGTGTCCGGGGTATTTGGCCCCGTTATTTACTGTATGTGTTGGTGATGTTTCACAACTCATTCTTTAAAGGAATTGATGACTGCGGTATAGGGCTGACTGATTTAATGACTGCTAGGCGCGCATGTAGATCTCCAGCTCTTGGCAGGTTAACCTATATTCTTAGTGATTTGATTAATCCGGCGCCGGTAAGAGCCGGTTCTCTTCCCCCCAACTGCAAATTATTTCAAACGCTACTGCAAGCAGGATTTAATCCGAATTCTGCATGTCTCGACTCTCAAGGGGAGGGGGGGGGGGGGGAGGGGCTGTCTCATCAGCAAAATCCAGATACTACGCCCCTGGTAAAACACGTTCAATGGCCCAACCTACAAACATTCGTTCCTTCCGTTAGGCACGTTTAAAACGGGAGCGTGGTTTCGCAAGACAAGTTGGCTGGCCGAGCGAAAGAAAAAGAGGAGTACTCTCATAATATGCCAACAAACGGGTTTCTCTCCTAATTTGGCTCACTTTTTCTCAAATTTGCAATCTGCGGCCCAAGTTACGGCTGGGGATGAATCCCCTGCAACTGAATAGGAAACTGCACTCCTGGTTCCAAGTAACTAGGAAGTAAAAAAACAAACAAACGTTGGCTGCGAATGTATTTAACTGCCTGCCAACCGTCATGCAAAACACTACGCGCGCGACTTGCTTAAAGGCGCTGTTGATTCACCAT